CAGCGTGGCCCCTGCGCGTGGGCCTCGGGCTCCCGCAGCTAAAACTTAGAGGCGGGGCCCCGCCCTGCCCCGCCCCGACCCCCCCCACACACACACCCACACCCCGTCCTCGCCCAGGCTGTGCGGGCGGCACGGCCTACTTCACCGGACACGACCCCTGCAGCCCCGATCGGGCTGTTTCTGGGTCTAGACCTCTCCAGGGTCCTGCAGCCCCGAAAGGGAAGCGAAGTCCCAGGGGTGGCTGGCAGGCTGGACCGGCCCCGGTCTCCGTGCACCGCTGCAGCCCGGGCCTCCTCGGGCGGCCCAGGGGGTACCTGGGTGGGCGTCAGCACTTTGCCCAACTCGTCCACCTCCACCCCGGCGTAGGAGACTCGCAGCGGGTGCTGGGGCGGTTCGTCCACCTCCTGCAGGCTCAACGGCCCGGCCCACTTGCTGATGTCCACGGACATGGCGGCGGCGAGCAGTTCGAGGCGAGCGAGCAAAGCCACGCGCTGCACAGACTGCGCGCAGCAAACTGGCCAGACTGCGCGGGGCCTTTGGCCCCCCAAAGCGCATGCGCAGGGGCGGCCGCCCGCCTCCTCGCCCTCTGATTGGCTGAGCCTGGGAGCGAGGCTGGTCTTAGAGCTCCCGGGTCAAGGCAACTTGCTGCGGGTCGGAGGGGCCTTGCCAAAGGATCTGGAGAGGCAGTGCGCGCTGCTTTCACCGTTTTCAGTCTTTGCCCCACTTTCGTGACTCACAGTGATGAGGGACTTGTTTTTTTCTTGCATTTCTTAAAAGGAGCTTGATTTTCCTCCTTCCCTGTATTTCCTTATTTGTGTCTGAGGGGGGTTTGCACACATGGAGACCAGAGGACAGCCTGCAAGAGTTGCTTCTCCTCCATCTTGTGGGTCCCAAGTTTGACACTCCCTCCTGGGGGCCTGAGGAGACTCACTGGGCTCATGAGGCCTCTCCCTGTCACCCCTCACGGGTTCTACCCTCAAAGTGGCTTTGGCTACTGTCCCAGCCTCTGCAAAACATTTCAGATGGAAACTCTAGGGCAGGAGATGTGGTTCGGTGGATAGAATGCCTGCTTGGTATACACAATGCCCCCAGCACCACGTAAAAGAGGTGTGGTGGTGCAAGCCTGGGATCCCAGCACTCAGAAGGTGGAGGCAGGAGGATCAGAAGTTCAAGGTGGGGCTAGAGAGATGGCTCAGCGGTTAAGAGCAGAGGACCGGGGTTCTATTCCCAGCACCCACAGAGCAGCTAACAATCGTCCATAACTACGGTCCCCAGAAATCCAACACACTTTTATGCCCTTCCCCGGCATTGCACTACATGGATAACACATACATGCAGGCAAAACATAAAATAAAAATAAATATTGTTTTAAATTTCAAGGTCATCTTAGTTCCAGGCTAGCCTGAGATACTTGAGAATCTGTCTAAAAATAATAATATTAAAACTAGAGCATGTAGTTAACATGTAGGAGAAACAAGGGAAACAAGAGAAAGGTGTTTTGTGCTTGTTAACACACATCTAGTGTCTGTGTGACTTTCCAGGCTGTTTGTCATCTCTTCCAGCCTGGGGCTTAAGGGGGTACTGGCTAGGAGTAGACTCCAGTGAACAAATCTGTAAAACTGTTTTGTTTTGTTTGCTGAGGGAGGGGAGAAATTCACAGACATGGTTGGTCAGCACAGCAGTTACTCTGCTTGAAAGGGAAAGGGCTTCAAGGGAGAGTTATATACCAAAATAATGCTCTGTCTTCTAGCTGTCTTCAGCAATCAGAGCTGCCTTTTTGAGGATCACAAGGTCTGAGGGTGGTGCCTCCAGGCAACGGAAGTTGGCTGCTGCCCAAGGATCTGGGCTGAGAGGTGGTCTAGAAATCACCCTCTACCTGGTCTAGCTATTCTGATAATCTCTAAGTCCTTTGTAAACACACTTCACACTCCCATTGCTGTCTTCTACAGAAAATGTCCCTTGAAAAGTTAGGCAGAAGATGTGTTGGTTCATTTGTTTTTGAGACAAGGTCTCATGTAGACCAGGTTGGCTTCAAACTGGCTTAGTAGCTTAGGCTGGCCTTGAACTCCTGATCCGTTTTTAATTGACTTTTTGGCACTAGCATCACAGATATTCCTTCAGTCCTGTGTATTTAGAGAAGGGGCCTCTTTTTTCCTTACTGAGTAAGCTCTCCTCTCTCTCCCCTCCCCTACCCTCAGCTCTGTTGAGCTCCCGACAGGGAGTCCCTGGCCTCAGCAGAGGACCCAGTTCTGTCGTGGTTGAGCCCCAGATCCACACATATTGAGGAGTCGGGTAAATCCGCATTGTCTTATGATGTGAAGTTTGAAGTTTATGGTGATTTGTCTCATAGCCATTGATGAGCAATAGACCCAGCCCAGCTTTCAGCCTGCGTGTGTTCAGGTTAGCAACTCAAGAGGAGGGATTCTATTTTCCAGTACCCCCAGAAAATACAGACACAGCCTCCCCCTCATGTGGTTGTAAGGCCAGTTCTAATTCACTGCTTGTCATTCTTGGGGGGGGGGATTATATTTTGATTTTATTTACTGTGTGTGTTTGGAGGTCAGACAACATGTTGCAGGAGTTGGTTCTCACCTTTCAACCACATGGATCCCAGTGATCAAACTCAGGTTTATTGGCAAGTGCCTTAATCTGCTGAGTCATCTCACTAGCCCTTTATGGATTTTTCTGGCTGAACCGTATTTGGTACCCCAGGTTGGCCTGGAACTCAAGATCCTCCTGATTGCTGGGATTATAGATGTGCACCACCATGCCCAGCGAGTGGTTATAATGCCAGCCACATCGTGGTCCTTGCCAACTGTACAGTTCCAGTTCAATCATGTTTTCTAAGGGGCAGTTTTTCAAAACAATGAAAAATGCAGCCCAGAGAGCAAGAGAGCGAGAGCGAGAGAGAGAGAGAGAGAGAGAGAGAGAGAAAGTGACAGAGAGACAGAGACACATGGAGAAAGAGACATGGAAGCAGGAAAAGCAAATGTAAGCCATATCCTCTGCACTTAGCAAATGAGATTTGTACACACTGTGAACAAAAGTTCCCAGAAAAACCGCATCTTAAAACTGAACCCTCTGTACAGGCTGATCAGCTGATTAGAACTCCAGTGACTGTAGAGAGCATGGAATGCTGCAGGTCCAGAGCATCCTTGTTACCTTTAGCTTAGAAAGGCTTGCAATTTTTCAGGAGAAAATAAATTAGTTAATAAAATGGAAAACAAGTTTTCCCAAAAGGAGGAAGTGTTTGAAGACAAACGGCCACCTGACACTATGGCTGGCTTTATGTATGATAATTATGAACTGTCAGCTTGCAAGTATTTGGAAAAATAGGAAGATCGGAGCAAAGATAACTTGGCCCCTCAGTGGGGAATATTTAATGCTCCAAAATTGGGATTTTTTTTTTTTTTTTTTTTTTTGCCACGCTTAGCTAAAAGTCCTAGGCAATAACATTTGAAACCATCGCCTGGGCAGTCTGCTTTAATTAAAGTGTGAGATTATCTTTAAAAAATATATATATATATACATATATATATAATTGACAATTTACAAAAATAAGAGCTCTAAGAAAAATAACATGTAAATAAAGAAAAATATTAAAATTAATTTAAAATTTTTAGCAATTGTATCAGAACTAAAGATAAATTCTAAGACTAGTCTTAACTTTCTCTGACCTTACCCTCTGTTCTTTTTTTTTTTTTTTTTTTTTTTTTTTTTAACTAGTTTATTGGGTTTGCTAACAGAACATAGGGGGGGGGTTTACTTACAGAAGAGTTGGTGCCTCTCCATTTACCTCTGCACTGGAAAATCCACACTCAATATAGATCCTGTGACTTCCCGCCAGCCATGCAAAATGGCGAGAGGTGCCTTATGTCTATATGCAAATAGATTAGATTATGGCCTGCTTTAAGAAAGAGTACTTTTTGTCCAGGAAGCTTGGGATATATTTCATTTTCTCTCTCTTTGAGCGACTTGTTTTTCTTTAACTCTCCTATCTAAGTTTACATTAAAATTGTCTTTATTTTACTAGCTATTCTTAAAATTCCCTTCAGCAATTAAAGCCAGGAATGAATGCTGGTTTGGCTTAAGTAGAGTTCTCTATAGCTCCTAATGAAGACCAGTGACAGCTATGTCTCAGTCAGTCCTGAAGTATCTGGGCCTCCTGATGAGATTTATCTTGAAACATTGGTGAGTTTCTTGTCTGTCACCTGTATGATATACCCTGCTAAATACTTTGAGTTCCTTTGTTTCTATTTCTCTAGCCAAAAAAACCCAAAAAAACAACAACAACGAAAAAAAACAAAAAACACTTAAAAATCCTGTAGACTCACCCATAATTTACTACTTGAGTCAGATACAACAACATGTGGTTTTTTTCTGGGATACATGAAAAGAACTGACTCCCAAGAAGACCTAAGCCAGTCTCTTGCCTCCAAGAGAACAGCCTAAGATAACTACAACATGTTATTCTTAACCTAAAATCTTAATGTTTCCTATACTGTCAGTGGTATAGCCTCTGATTTATGGTACACTAATAGCTTAGACAAAGGGAATTCTACCGGTTTCACATACAAAGGCATCCCCCCCTGTAAGAGATAGTAAATATTAGTCTTCTCTTTCAAAACCTGCAAAATTTATGACAAGAAATTCTAATCTTTTAATCCCACCATACCGTGAACCACCTGAAACATTCCTGAGCCTGTTGGTCTGTGGCAACTGAGTTCTTTAGATTTCCTCTCTTTGGGCAGAGTCTTAAACTGGTTCTGACTGACTTTGCAGTGCACCCTTATGCAAAAAGTGAAATCTGCTTTGCCAGGTTACTATTGCTTTCTGCATGTGTTCTTTGCGAGGTACTGATAGAGTTCTTAGACGAGTTTTATCTATAATACCCTTCAGTTATTTAGCTCTTAAAAAGAGAGATATTACCTTAAGTCTACACTGCAAACTTACCCCTTTCATTTTTTGTTAACATAGTAAAGAACTAGAGACGTAAGCACTCGGCCTTCTCTCCCTCTTTGGTGCACCTGGGTGTCACGTAATTGTGGTATGTGTATGTTAATCGTTTTCATGTGTTGTTTGAGTCAAGCCAATGTTTTAACTGGCCGCTTCAGTTATTTAATTTTATTTAATTTTATTTTTTCCTTCCTCTTTATTTTTATTGTGCACAAGAATTATTATTTTGGGGGGGCATGCAAGATTAAAATGCACATGTGCGGATTTACAAATGTATTTTGCTAATGTATTAAAAGCCCTGATAAATACATAGTACATTATAAACGAGTACACTAAACATCTACACACACACACACAAAAAACTATTAATATCTTTGGGTCTATTAAGTGCTCCATGAAAACCTTTAAATGCTAATTGTTTATACTAAATGGCATTCATTAAAATTATAAGATAAATATTTCAGGAGAGATGACTCAGTGGTTAAGAACACTGTTCTTGCAGAAGACTCGGGTTCGAATCCCAGCACCCACATGGCAGCTAACAACTGTCCATAACTCCAGTTCCACGGGATCTGACAGCCTCTTCCGTCTT